AACGTTTCACTAAAGGATGGCTGAACACGTTCGTTCCGCCAAACCCCTCATGACCAGCTGAAATTGCCGCTGCAAACACTTTAATGGTGGAGGGCGATTTCTGCTTATCAAACATAAACTGCAGAAAAGAGAGCACACTCTCAACCTGACAGTTCATGGGGTCCACACCTTGTGTGTCACACCATCGTGAAAAAACGTTCCATCTGCTGGTATACATCCTAGAAGTGGAACCGGCTCGTGCACCTTGTATGGTTCTGATCACTGCATCAGATAACCCACGGCGCCTCAACCTGTCCCATTCAGGAACCAAGCCTTCAGTGGTTGGCCGATTATGGGCCACTGCCCTATCGAGCCTCCCGCCTGGGTCAACGCGTCCCGTCGATGTGGAATTGGCCAAGGTGGCGCAATCAACATCTGACTCATCTCCGCAAACCACGGAGCCCCCGGGCGATCGGGCGCTATCACTATCACTGACAGCCCCTCTGACCTCACCCTGGCTAGCAGTGGGAGAATGCAAGACAGCGGAGGGAATGCATACAGGAGAACTTTTGGCCATGGGTAGTGCGCGAATGCGTCTCTTCCCAGTGGTGGCTCGTCCTGTTCCCTCAGAGAAAACCATAGGGGACATTGCGCGTTCACGCGTGACGCGAACAGATCCACCTCGGCTCTCCCGAACTGTTCCCAAATTTGGAGAACAATGTCCGGATGCAGACACCACTCGTCGTCTCGAGGACCCCCTCTTGACATGAGGTCTGCTCCTACGTTCAAGTAGCCCGGAATGTGTGCTGCTCTCAACGAGCGAAGGTGCTCGTGAGCCCACAGCCACAATTCCTCTGCCGCCCTGTGGAGGGCAGGTGACCTGACCCCCCCCTGGCGATTTATGTGAGCTACTGTGGTCCGGTTGTCTGACCAGACCAGCACATCGCGACCCCGAAGGGTAGGCGCGAAGTGGGTCAGAACCAGTCGAACCGTTTCCAACTCCAAGAGGTTTATGTGACGACCTGATTGAGGCCATGCACCTCCTATCGCTTGAGTCTGACATGTCCCTCCCCATCCAGTCAGAGAAGCATCTGTAAATACTGGAATGTAGGATGACACTTTGCCCATCGGGACTCCGTGCGTGAGAACGCTCGGATTCCTCCAATAGTCCAGGTCTGCTCTTAGCGAGAGAGGAACCACCACCAACCGATGACGTTGACGCACTGGGTCTAGTCTTAGTTGGGCGAACCATCGCTGTATTCTGCGCATGTGCAGAAGTCCCAGCGGGACCACAGAGTGGGCTGACGACATGAGACCCAAAAGTGACATGATCGACAGCGCCGTCACTGTGTGATTCGGACGACACTTCCTCAGGGCTAGCAACAATGCTACCCTTTGAGGGTCCGAAATTCGAGCCCTCATCATTACAGTGTCTATCTGTAGCCCCAGGTAGCCAATATGATGACTGGGCCAGGGTGCGCTCTTTTTCCAATTCACAGCGAACCCCAGACGCGTGAGATGAATCACTGTCTGTTGTGTGAGTGAACGCCAGCTCTGCTGACGGGGCGAGAACCAGCAGGTCGTCTAGGTAGGCTAATAGCCTTATCCCTTGACGACGCAGCGGCTCCAATGCCACCTCCACACATTTGGAAAACGTTCGAGGTGCCAGGGCGTACCCGAATGGCATCCTCGTGAACTCGTACGCCACCCCTTGAAAGGCGAACCGCAGAAACTTCCTGTGACGCGATTGTATCGGCACATGGAAGTACGCGTCCTTTAGGTCTATGCTTGTACAAAAGTCTCCTTTCTGGACACATTCCAGTAGACGTTTTGTCGTCAGCATTCGGAAGGGTCGTTTGGTTATGCTCTCGTTGAGAGTGCGTAAATCCAAAATCGGCCTCACTCCCCCCGTCTTTTTGGGCACTAGGAAATAAGGCGAATATAGCCCTTTGTTCCTTTGCTCCCGGGGAACTACTGTGACCGCCTCCTTCACCAAAAGTTCCGTAATCTCTGACATCAGAGCGGCCACTTTGTCCGGCGTTTTCATCACCGTCTCCACCACTCCCCTGAACGGGGGTGGGGTTCGATGGAATTGGAGGGCATAACCCTTCTGCAACGTCTGTTCTAGCCGTGAGAGGGTACAGCTTCGTTGCCACTGCCAGCAATGCAGAGAAAGCGGGCGCGCACGAAGCTGTGGTGCATCCAGTAGGAAGGACCTGTATTCCTCTATGGCCCTCGCCGCCGCTATTCCCCAGCACTGGGTTGGTGGAATAGCCCAAGGCGGGCCCCCCTCGAAAGGGAGAGGAAACATAAGCTCGTTCTGAGAGAATCGGAGGCCTTGATACGTCAGTTACGTCTGTAACTCTAGTATTCCGGCCCTCCGTGAACGCAGCACGGTTTTGAGCTGCACTGACTGAGGTATTAACCTGAGACAGAGCGCCCTCCCCGGATAGCGATTGCGTCATCATGTCATTGTCTGACTGAGACTGCTGCTTGCCATGAGATCCGTCCACTGCAGTACTCAACAGAGTCTGGAAAGTGTGGTCTCTAACTGGTACCACAAGGTGGCGCCACAATACCTCTTTTTTACTGGTCTCATGAGGCTGCTCAACAGCACACTCTGGGTGTGGTGAGCTGCACTCAGAGTAGTGGGCATTGTTACGTTCTGAATTAACCGGGGGCGCCCATACATTGGTTACACCTGTAACTCTAGTATTCCGGCCCTCCGTGAACGTCGCACGGGTCTGAACTGCGCTGGCTGAGGCGTTAGCCTGAAGCAAGGCGTCATTCCCAGTTAGCGGCTGCGTCTTCATGTCATATTTAGACTGAGACAGCTGCCTGCTATGTGAGACCTTTACTACAGAGCTCATAGGAGTCTGTAGTAAAATATCTTTATTAGGTGAGCTAAGGCTACGCCTTGCTACCTTTTTCTCTTTCCTCTCCTGAGTGTATTCAACTACGCACCCTTGGTGGGTTGAGCTACACTCAGGATGGTGAGAGAAATTCATAGGACGTGAAGTACTCTGCAATGTGTCATGGAAGACAGGCCCTTTTGTGACAATGTCAGTGAGAGCCAGCTCTTTATTCACACAACAACAATAAACATTTCCCTCCATGCCCTGAACAGTAGGGTGGGGGGGAACAGTGGGCTCTGTCGCGTCTTGCGCCGAGCCGTCATCCGTCCTCTCCCCCTCGTCCCGTCATTGACGCCGTCGTTTCTGGCTGACCTTCTGGTGTTGCCAGGACGGTTTTGTGACGACCTCTCTCGCCGGCGGAATCGTCGCCACCACCGTCGTCGCTGGAGGGGCCGAGCCCGCTCGCCTGCTGTCGGTGGTAGGCGCCTGTCGCCTGGCCCGTCGCCTCCCTGTAGTTCTACTGGGGGCGTTGGAGGTTGACGGGTTATTTGAGGCCCTGCTAAACTTGTGTTTAGCCAGGTGCTTTCTCTCCTCGTCCAGCTTACCAAAGCGTTCCGTCGCCTCCTTAACGGCGACCCCAAAGAGGCCCTCGCTAGAGACGGGAGCGTTTAGTAGCGAGGCTCTGTCCGTCTCCTTCATGGCGAGGTGACGTTCCATAACCACCGAGGTGGCCATGGACCGGCCTGCGCATATCGCTGACGCCTGTGTCAAATGAAGAATAGCGCCAGAAATCCTGGACGCCTCTTCAATCTCCTCGCTGGTCAACTCAGACCTACCCGTTGTTAGACGGGATAGGGAGGCCGCGAGGAGGGCAATGTTGTTAGCCGCTGACATAGCCTGGGCTCCCAGCGTAAAAGACTTCTCAGCCAGCTGTGCTGTGAGTCTGTCTTTTTGTGCTGGCAAGGTGGCTTTCTTGGAGGCCGCCCAGGGACTCGAACCCGGCACGATACGCCGCCATGGCGCTCTCGAGCCTAGGGATTCCCTTAGCAGCCCACTCACGTCCAGCCACTCTCGTGAATGGGGTGTACACCTTGGCCGGCGAACGCGCCGCCAGGGGTGTATCCCACGAGCCCTCGACATATTTCCCGAGGGAAGGCATAGCAGGAGCCATCGGCTCAGCTGCCTTCCTCGGTCTAGAGTAGGGGCCGCCCTCCATCATGTCGACCTCCACAGGGGGGGGAGCAGGGGGCAGCGCTATCTCTAGTCGGTTGGCGGCTCTCTCAATGAGTTCGGGGAAGTCCGAACGCAGAGAGGCCGCTGCGAAGGACAGGGCTGCTGACGTAACAGAGCCCGTGTCGTCATCGCACAAGGAGCCTTCAGATCTCACACTCCCCATAGGGAAGGGGGTCTTGAAGGTTGTCGCCAGAGGGTCGGATTGTTCCATTGGAACATCCATCTCTGCGTCTCTCTCCTTGTCCTCCCCTGAGTCAGCACTGTCCGTCGACGCCTCTGAAGCAGAGGCGAGAAGAGACAGTACATCCTCTAGGGGGATATCCTCCCTAAAAAACGCCCAACGCTGCTTCCTCTCCTTCATAGGAAGGAGGGCGCAGGAGGCGCAATTAGGGGGATTGCCGGTCCCTTCCTTGGCATGCTGCGGCCCCAAACACACGAAACAAAGGTCGTGGGGGTCCGCAGATGCCATGGAGGAGCATCGGCACTGAGCCCTGAAAAGGGCTTTTGGGGGTGGAAAATTTCCTGGCGTGCTCATTTAGAAGACGTCGATGGCTGGCTCATCGACGGCGATTTCTTCCTGAGTCTTCTTACTTCTTGGCTTCTTCAGTCTAGTCGTCCAGTCGCTGAAGATAATGGGAGGCTGATTGAGGGGAATCGTCCCCTCTTATAGGGACACCTGTGCTCCCATTGGCTGCAGGTGTGTGCATAATTTTGCTTCAGGCTGTTGCTGCCTTAGGGCAGAGGGTAAACCACTAGGAGCAGAGCTCCCCTATGGGGCGGAGCTCCACGATATAGAACTAGCAAATACATCAGGGTATGAAGCCTGGCTGTGTTGCAAACTATACATTGCAAACTACCAATTGCTATTAGTTAGTAGTGCAATGCTTATTTATGTCTGGAATTGAAGGCTATTAATTTTTTTGCTTTACCCAGCATGCTCAGGCTTCAGAAGCGATTGGCGTCCAGCGTCTTGCGCTGTGGCAAGAAGAAGGTATGGCTGGACCCCAATGAAACCAATGAGATTGCCAACGCCAACTCCCGTAAGACACTCCTCTTTACACCTCCATGCTAGGGAGACTAGCCCAATAATGGACTAAAGGTACAAATAGTTCCAAGGTACCAATAGTTGTGTTCTTGTAAGATACAGTTGAAGTCAGAAGTTTACATACACTTAGGTTGGAGTCATTAAAACTTGTTTTTCAACCACTCCACAAATTTCTTGTTAACAAAATATAGTTTTGGCAAATCGGTTAGGACATCTGCTTTGTGCATGACACAAGTCATTTTTCCAAAGATTGTTTAGACAGATTATTTCACTTAGAATTCACTGTATCACAATTCCAGTGGGTCAGAAGTTTACATACACTAAGTTGACTGTGCCTTTAAACAGCTTGGAAAATTCCAGTTAATGATATCATGGCTTTAGAAGCTTCTGATAGGCTAATTGACATAATTTGAGTCAATTGGAGGTGTACCTGTGGATGTATTTCAAGGCCTACCTTCAAACTCAGTGCCTCTTTGCTTGACATCATGGGAAAATAAATCAGCCAAGACCTCAGAAAAAAATGGTAGACCTCCACAAGTCTGGTTCATCCTTGAGAGCAATTTCCAAATGCCTGAATGTACCACGTTCATCTGTACAAACAATAGTACGCAAGTATAAACACTATGGGACCACGCAGCCATCATACCGCTCAGGAAGGAGATGCGTTCTGTCTCCTAGAGATGAACGTACTTTGGTGCGAAAAGTGCAAATCAATCCCAGAACAACAGCAAAGGACCTTGTGAAGATGCTGGAGGAAACAGGTACAAAAGTATCTATATCCACAGTAAAACGAGTCCTATATCAACATAACCTGAAAGGCCGCTCAGCAAGGAAGAAGCCACTGCTCCAAAACCGCCATAAGAAAGCCAGACTATGGTTTGCAATTGCACATGGGGACAAAGATCGTACTTTTTGGAGAAATGTCCTCTGGTCTGATGAAACAAAAATAGAACTGTTTGGCCATAATGACCATCGTTATGTTTGGAGGAAAAAGGGGTTTGCTTGCAAGCCGAAGAACATCATCCCAACAGTGAAGCACGGGGGTGGCAGCATCATGCTGTGGGGGTGCTTTGCTGCAGGAGGGACTGGTGCACTTCACAAAATAGATGGCATCATGAGGAAGGACAATTATGTGGATATATTGAAGCAACATCTCAAGACATCAATCAGGAAGTTAAAGCAAATGGGTCTTCCAAATGGACAATGACCCCAAGCATACTTCCAAAGTTGTGGCAAAATGGCTTAAGGACAACAAAGTCAAGGTATTGGAGTGGCCTTCACAAAGCTCTGACCTCAATCCTATAGAACATTTGTGGGCAGAACTGAAAAAGCATGTGCGAGCAAGGAGGCCTACAAACCTGACTCAGTTACACCAGCTCTGTCAGGAGGAATGGGACAAAATTCACCCAAGCTTGTGGAAGGCTACCCGAAACGTTTGACACAAGTTAAACATTTAAAGGCAATGCTACCAAATACTAATTGAGTGTATGTAAACTTCTGACCCACTGGAAATGTGATGAAAGAAAAAAAGCTGAAATAAATCATTCTCTCTACTATTATTCTGACATATCACATTCTTAAAATAAAGTGGTGATCCTAACTGACCTAAGACAGGGAATTTTTACTAGGATGAAATGTCAGGAATTGTGAAAAACTGAGTTGAAATGTATTTGGCTAAGGTGTATGTAAACTTCAGACTTCAACTGTACATACACTGTGAAATAGACCATGGGACAAGGATGGCCACATACAAGTTAATCAACCTGTCTACCAATCACTCTCCCCGCCCCCCCGCAGGCCAGCAGATTCGCAAACTGGTGAAGGATGGTCTGATCATCAGGAAGCCTGTGACGGTGCATTCCCGTGCCCGCTGCCGCAAGAACACGCTGGCACGCCGCAAGGGACGCCACACGGGCATAGGTGGGTACAGAGAGGTTCACAACACTGTCATCCCATCATACAGCCAACATCATGGCCATGATAACATTGTTCAAAGTGGCTCCCTGTCCACTCTCCCTCATTTGCACTGAGAAGGTGCGTTTGTTTTAGCTCGCCAGGTGGGTGTTTGCACATTCAAGATCATTCCATTGGTCGTAAAGTTCAATCTACACCCAACTGGTGCGCCGGGCTAGCTAAAACAAACACACTTATTGAAAAATCTGGACAGTTGAAAGAAAATGTCTGGGTCCTGTAGACCTCTTGTATATTATTTTCATATATCACCAGTGCTAAAAAGGAGAGAGAATCAGAAATCTATAAATCCAATGATGACTAGGAGTTAACAAATGATCTGTTCGGGGTGTTGACCTATTACTGGGCTGTGTTAATATTTGATGATGATTCCCCCCTGCCCAGGTAAGAGGAAGGGTACAGCCAACGCCCGTATGCCAGAGAAGCTCTCGTGGATGCGACGCATGAGGATCCTGCGGCGCCTACTGCGGCGTTACAGGGAGTCCAAGAAAATCGACAGGCACATGTGAGTCTACACTTAGATGTCTGAATCATCTGGTTGCAATTGTGGAAGAATGTTATCCTGGAAAAGACTGGGAAATTTGATAGTTTTGAACAAATGTATCGCTTTGTAATGAAATGCGGTGCAAAATACCACAATGACCCTGAAATTAGTATTCAAACCACAAGAGTATCTTGAAAAGTCAAGATTGTAGTGAAGTCCATTATCTGTTTATTAAAGTGATACTTGTAATCGGTGAACCAAAGTTTTGTCCTTGTAAACATTCTGTGTAACCCTGGTGAAGTGTTGAACGTCTAAGGAACCATCTCAATAGGACATACTGATTTTGTAAAACGCACAGAATTTGTGTGTCTGGAATGTGTGTGATTTGAGTGGGAACCTTTCCTTGTCCTCAACTCATTTACATTTTACATTTACATCATTTAGCAGACGCTCTTATCCAGAGCGACTTACAGTTAGTGAGTGCATACATTATTATTATTATTATATTCTTTTATTTTTATTTATTTCATACTGGCCCCCCGTGGGAATCGAACCCACAACCCTGGCGTTGCAAACGCCATGCTCTACCAACTGAGCTACATCCCTGCCGGCCATTCCCTCCCCTACCCTGGACGACGCTGGGCCAATTGTGCGCCGCCCCATGGGTCTCCCGGTCGCGGCCGGCTACGACAGAGCCTGGATATAACTCCCAGTACACTCTCTCTCTCCAGGTACCACAGCCTCTACTTGAAAGTGAAGGGTAATGTCTTCAAGAACAAGCGCATCCTAATGGAACACATTCACAAGCTGAAGGCAGACAAGGCTCGCAAGAAGCTCCTGTCGTAAGTCGACACTACAACTCCCATCACCTAGCCAAAACGAATGATCATTTGGCTGTCATAATTCCTGGACTATGGTTACATTTCACTTCAGATGTGTAAACCAAGGTTTATCAATGAAATCAAATGTTTAGATCTGGACAAACTAACCCAGATTTAAACCTAGCCCTGGATTAATTGAATCTGAGTCCTTTAGAACCTGGGCTGTAATTTGTTTGCGTTCTGTAACCTCTCATCTGTCTCTCGCTCACCAGTGACCAGGCCGAGGCTCGTCGCTCGAAGACCAAGGAGGCCCGCAAGCGCAGAGAGGAGCGCATAGCGGCCAAGAAGGAAGAGCTCATCAAGACCTTGTCAAAGGAGGAGGAGACAACCAAGAAATGAGTCGCCCCTCCACCCCCGTTCCTCCTTTTCAATGTTAATAAAAATAATTGACCCAAAACAGACAAGGCTCAGTCTCCGTCTGTGATATTATACTATATGCTGGAGTTTTTTGCTATTGCCACCAATACCAAGGGCTGCATTTATAAATATTCCATTGAAAAAATACCACAACTTGTTCAGTGCCTTCAGAAAGTATTCTTACATCCCTTGACTTTTTCCACCTTTTGTTGTCATACAGCAGGGTTCTTCAATTCCGGTCCTGGAGGGCCGAAACACTTCTGTTTTTTATTTCTACCTGGTAGATAATTGCACTCACCTGGTGTCCCAGGTCTGAATTAGCCCCTGATTAGAAGGAGAGAATGAAAAACAGAGGTGTTTCGGCCCTCCAGGACCGGAATTGAAGAACCCTGTCGTACAGGTTGAATTAAATATTTATTAAATAGAGATTGTTACTGGCCTACAAAAAATACCCCATAATGTCAAAGTAGAACTGTTTTTAGACATTTGTACACATTAATAAACAAAAAGCTGAAGGGTTTTGAGTCAATAAGTGCTCAACCCCTTTGTTATGGCAAGCCTAAATACGTTTTGGAGTAACAGTTTAGTCATATAAGTTGCATGGACTCACTGTGTGCAATGATAGTTTTTAACATGATTTTTGAATGACTACCTCATCTCTGTACCCCACACATACAATTATCATTAAGGGCCCTCAGTTGAACTGTGAATTTCAAACACAGATTCAACCACAAAGACCAGGGAGGTTTTTCAATGCCTCGCGAAGAAGGGCACCTATTGGTAGATGGGTAAAAAACAAACAGACATTGAATATCCCTTTTGAAATTGGTGAAGTTATTAATTACACTTTGGATGGTGTATTAATACACCCAGTCACTACAAAGATACAGGCATCCTGCCTAACTCAGTTGCTGGAGAGGAAGGAAACCGGTCAGGGATTTCACCATGAGGCCAATGGTGACATTAAACAGTTACAAAGAAGGAAGCCTGTACAGAATACAAATATTCCAAAACATGCATCCTGTTTGCGACAAGGTACAAAAGTAATACTGCAAAAAATGTGGCAAAGCAATTAACCTTTTGCCCTGAATACAAAGTGTTATGATTGGGGCAAATCCAATACAGCATATTACTGAGTACCACTCCATATTTTCAAGCATGATGGTGGCTGCATCATGTTATGGGCATGCTTGTAATCGTTAAGGACTGGGGAGTTTTTCAGGATAAAAAAATAACTGAATGGCGCTAAGAACAGGCAAAATCCTAAGGGAAACCTGGTTCAGTCTGCTTTCCACCAGACACTGGGAGATTAATTCACCTTTCAGCAGGACAATAACCTAAAACACAAGGCCAAATATACACTGGAGTTGCTTACCAAGACGACATTGAATGTTCCTGAGTGGCTTAGTTACAGCTTTGACTTAAATTGGCTTGAAAATCCATGGCAAGACTTGAAAATGGCTGTCTAGCAATGATCAACAATTAACTTGACAGAGCTTGAAGAATCTAAAAAAGAATAATGTGCAAATATTGTACAATCCAGGTGTGCAAAGCTCTTTGACACTTACCCAGAAAGACTCACAGCTGTAATTGCTGCCAAAGCTGATTCTAACATGTATTGACTCAGGGGTGTGAATACTTATATATACTGAACAAAAATATAAACGGAAAATGCAACAATTTCAACGATTTTACAGTTCATATCAGGAAATCAGTCAATTGAAATAATTTAATTAGGCCCTAATCTATGGATTTCACATGACTGGGCAGGGGCGCAGCCATGGGTGGACCTGGGAGGGCATAGGCCCACCCACTTGGGAGCCAGGACCTGCCAATAAGAATGAGTTTTTCCCCACAAAAGGGCTTTATTGCAGGCAGAAATACTCCTCAGTTTCATCAGCTGTCCGGGTGGCTGATCTCAGACGATCCCGTGGGTGAAGAAGCAGGATGTGGAGGTCCTGGGCTGGCGTGGTTACACTTGGTCTGTGGTTGTGAGGCCGGTTGGACGTACTGCCAAATTCTCTAAAATGACGTTGGAGGCGGCTTATGGTAGAGACATGAATATTCAATTATCTGGCAACAGTTCAGGTGGACATTCCTGCAGTCAGCATGCCAACTGCACGCTCCCTCAAAACTTGAGACAAATGTGGCATTGTGTTGTGTGACAAAATTGCACATTTTAGAGTGGCCTTTTATTGTCCCCAGCACAAGGTGCACCTGTGTAATGATCATGCTGTTTAATCAGCTTCTTGATGTGCCACACCTTTCAGGTGGATGGATTATCTTGTCAAAGGAGAAATGCTCACTAACAGGGATGTAAACAAATTTGTGCACAACATTTGAGAAAAATAAGCTTTTTGTGCATATGGAACATTTCTGGGATATTTTATTTGTTCAGTGTAAATTAGATATTTCTGTATTTAATTTTCAATAAATTTGGAGAAAAAAATGTAAAACATGTTTTCACTTTGTCATTATGGGGTATTGTGTGTAGATGGGTGAGTAAAAACATATTTTAACCATTTTGAATTCAGGCTGTAACACAACAAAATGTGGAATAAGTTAAGGGGTATGTATACTTACTGAAGGCACTGTATATGCAGCTTTTCACACAAGAATGGAAGGTTGTGTTTATTACACTAGTTAATTCCTTAAATCCATGAGGGGGAGTGAACAAATACACAGTTTGGGGAGAAGGGTATAGTGTTGGACTGCAGTCTTGAACGACCTGAGAAGTTATTCTTCAATGCTCGCTTCGAGGCAAGCAACACTGAACCATACATGAGAGCACCAGCTGTTCCGGATGACAGTGTGATCTCTCCCTAGCCGATGTGAGTAAGACCTTTAAACAGGTTAACATTCACAAGGACGCAGGGCCAGACGGATTACCAGGTAGCGTACTCCAATCATGCGCTGACCAGCTGGCAAGTGTCTTCACTGACATTTTCATTCTCTCCCTGACCCAGTCTGTAATACCTACATGTTTCAAGCAGATCACCATAGTACCTGTGCCCAAGAATGCCAAGGTAACCTGTCTAAATGACTATTGCACCGTAGCACTTACATCTGTAGCCATAAAATGCTTTGAAAGGCTGGTCATGGCTCACATCAACACCATCATCCCAGACACCCTGGACCCACTCCAATTTGCATACTGCTCCAACAGATCCACAGATGATGCAATCTCTATTGCACTCCACACTGCCCTCTCCCACCTGCACAAGAGGAACACCTATGTGACAATGCTGTTCATCGTCTACAGCTCAGCGTTCAACACCATAATGCCCTCCAAGCTGTTCATCATCTACAGCTCAGCGTTCAACACCATAATGCCCTCCAAGCTCATCACTAAGCTCAGGACCCTGGGACTGAACACCTCCCTCTGCAACTGGATCCTGGACTTCCTGATGGGCCACCCACAGGTGGTGAGGGTAGGCAACAACGCATCCGCCAAGCTGACCCTCAACATGGGGGCCCTTCAGGGACAGCCTATAGGGAGGAGGAAGTCAGTGACCTGGAGATGTGGTGCCAGGACAACAACCACTCCCTCAATGTCAGCAAGACGAAGGAACTGATCGTGGACTACAGGAAACGTGGCTGTAGTGAAGGGGGTCGAAAGCTTCAAGTTCCTCGGTGTCCACATCACTAAGGAATTAACATGGTCCACACACACCAACAAACACAGTTGTGAAGGCACGATAACGCCTCTTCCCCCTCAGGAGGCTGAAAAGATTTGTCATGGGCCATCAGAGGCTCAAAAAGTTATACAGCTGCACCATTGAGAGCATCTTGACTGGCCGCATCACCGCTTAGTATGGCAACTGCTTGGCATCCAACCACAAGGCACTACAGAGGGTAATGCGTAAGGCCCAGTACATCACTAGGGCCAAGCTCCCTGCCATCTAGGACCTCTATACCACGCAGTGTCAGAGGAAGGCCCTAAAAATTGTTAAAGACTTCAGCCACCCAAGTCATAGACTGTTCTCTCTGCGACCGCACGTCAAGCGATACTGTAGTGTGGCAATATTTGATACATATGATGTTAGAAATACCTCACAAATGCGACCAGTAATAAGACTAAGCAATTAGCCCATTAAAGGAATTATCTGACTCCATAAGATAAATAGCAATATGCAAGAACACTATAGTTGAGTTACAGTAATAGGCAATCAAGAAATGTCTGAGAATGGAATTCTAAATACAAGTGTATTTAATGACTTTGTAAAATGAATGGATTCACATACAAGGCATACAGCTTAAGTTACAAGGCAATACTGACATTAACAAAGCATTATTCTAAGCATGATCAGAGAGAAAAGGAAACAAAGAAGCCATGGCTTGTACCATGGCCCATAGCTCATGGGAGAGGGAAAGAGAAAGATATCTCACCAGCGCAGGTAAGGAACATAAGAGAAAGAGACAATTCATCTAACCCTTTTTAACATCTGAGTTGTTTGGATTCAAAATCTGAGTTGTTGACCAATAGTATTATTGTAAAGTTAACCTCCAATCAGATATCAGACCTACAGACCTGTAAAGACAACAGAGCCTCTGCTTCTCAGAGGTGAGACAATAGGGGTTGGTAAGATAAAGGTGGCATTCCTAAGACAACACAGAGGAAATTATTGCGTACAGTTGATAAGAAAAGGTCACTTCGGGGCTGGGTCGCCCTACAGTACCGATGCAGCAAGTCTGGAACCAACAGGACCCTGAATAGCTACCCCCAAGCTATAAGACTGCTAAATAGTTAACCAAATAGCTACCCGGACTATCTGCATTGGCCTCTTTTGACTCGTCACATACGCTGCTGCTGTTTATTATCTATTCTGTTGCCTAGTCACTTTACCCCTACCGATATGTACATATCTACCTCAATTACCTCTTACCCCTGCACATCGACTAAGTATGGTACCCCATGTATATAGCCAAGTTATCGTTACTCATTGTCTATTCCTCGTTATTTTTGTATATTTTTTTTC